CGACTCGATCTTCGTCTCGCAGTTGGTGCCGGTGAAATCCGGCGAGCAGGTGCACGTGTAAGAGCCCGCGCCGGTGTTCGTGCACGTGCCCCCGTTCACGCACGGCTTGTGGTGGGTGCAGTAGTTGAGGTCTGAATGAAACTCGAGCGATCACTAAAGGAAGTGCACGGCTGAAAGTGTACCCTTACCTTGATTGCAGAACTTGCCGCCCCAGCCCTCGTTGCACGTGCAGTCGAACGGCTTTTCGCAGGTGCCGTGCTGGCAGCTGGGGTACCGCTGACAAGTGTCACAATTTTCACCGATGTAACCCAGCTGGCAAATGCACTCGCCCGGCTGCTGACAGGACCCGTAAACTGGATGACAACCAGCTTTGCAAATGGCTGCAAATACAAAACGCATCATTTGTCACGATTATAGATATGCGACAGACGAAAGTGCGTACACGGGACAACCGTCATGAATCAAGCAAAGACCCAATTATAGGGGATTAATCATGAATACTCAAACGAGACATTTTACTCAGATGGGGGGGGGCAAGATGATGAGAATATAAGGGGTTAACAATCTAGTTTCTCATTAAAAGTATGCTTCACTGTTGATTGTCATATCAGTGAGGACCAGTTGCAGAGATCAGTTGAAATCGTCCATTAGTTCAACCGAAACTGCTCTTGGCCACAATAAGAAGAACCCCTCATAGAATGGAATCAGCCGCAACAAGATTCATCGGACTCATTCGACGGAAAAGAAACGTGCAAAGCAACTACATTTAGAAACGAATTATGCCCTCTGACAATCCGTTGAAGAAACATATACAAATTGGTACTACTTCTGTTTCCCCATCTTGAAAGCGACGAAACCAAACATGCAAGAATTGTACGCAATATCGATTATAGGTAAGTTGAGGAAAATTGAGGTAACAGCTAAGACAATGGAAATTGTTGGAGTTTATTCGCCCCAGAAGAACTGAGACGAGTCACTGAAGAATGCTGCAAGACAGCTCAATGATCAGGGTTCGCAAATCTGAACTAATGTGTTGTTCAGCCCTTGAACAATAACGAAAACAATCTTCAAAGAGAATGGTCAAACTTGGGGAAAAGGCCAGTGATTAGAGAGTCATAAATTACGGCCATCTGTAGACCACATATGAGAGTAAACAATACTCAATGAAAATTAGTTACATAACTATCTGTGAGTTAAATGATAAGGACTGAAATCACCGAGTACTGCCCGCTTATCATGGGTGATCGGTCAAGCCTGCAATTGTAATTTACCCCTCCTTAATGAATAGCTTCTTTTTAAAGCTTTACTATCCCTTTCGAAGATACCGGTCATTGTATCCTGACGATCATAAAGCTTAAATAATGGAGTAACCCAAAATTGTGATTTTCTTCGAAGCTGGTTCGAGGAACCTCGTCGAATGTGATGACAAACAGGGTAAAAGATAATCGAAGAAAATCGAAAAAAAACTCGTCGAAAATCAGATCCCTCGCCAATTTAAAAAGCGTAGTCAAGAACGTTTTGGATGCGAACCAAAAGATCATTGACTGCTTGCTTATGCCACGAACTTGGAGGTGGACTTGAATCTATAAAAAGTGGCACCCTCTCGCTTAGATTATATCAAACCATTCCTTAAGTGTTAGTCATATTCGGTTGGTGGACGAATATCTCAACGAACTGCCTTGATCACTGAGGAGATCAGTGGAAAATTGACGGATGAGAAATCTCAACCATTTCAAGTCATACATTTTTAGCAATTTTTGGATGAACGATGAAAAGAAAAATTATTACTGAAAGGCTGAAACATCATGCCATCATGATCAAGATACATTCTTCCTTGTCCCCTGTTCATATAATGGATCTGGTACCTTCTGGAAAGGCATTACTCTGAACATAACGCCATTCATAGCATTGGCACTTGCATCGACCCTTGAGACGACTGGTTATTTTCAAGTGTGCTTTCATCCTGTCGTATACCTGGTAATAACTGGCAAAGTACACGGAATTATTGAGGATTCTGAACAGTAACTCAGCATATCGGTTAAGGTTAAGGTGTATTCGCGATTCTGCACTGGGCGTTCAGACGTAAACCCCTTTGTCTGATCCTCATGACCTACAGGTGTGCCATTGCAACCACCGAATTACATAAGGCACCCTTGGTGACTAGTAAAACATAGCAAAGGAAAAAATTCATATCGAAAGAGGGTAATAGACAAGCGAGCAACAGAGAAGAGGCTGAAATGCTCGCATACTGGAAACAGTACCAGCAACATGAACACAACACATCCAAACCACAACCGCCGCCTCCATTAAGCAGTACACTTAATTGTGTACATGCGAGAAAAAATGAAAAAAATAGTGTTCTTCCCGCCTTGAGTTCTTAAGGTACAAATTTGAATGTAAAAGTGGTATAAAATTTGCTTATTAGTTTCCAATTCTTCTGAGCAAGATATTCACCCGATTATGCTTCAAACCGTGTACCCGGTGCTAACGTATGGATTAGACACACGATGCCCAAGTATGCAACAACTACAGATTACACAACGCAGCACAGAAAGGTGCCTGTTGGAAATAACGAGGAAAAAAATAAGTAGCCGAACGAATGGACACGAGTACAAATAGGGGTCAGTGATATATTCGCAAGGGCGAAGAATCTGAAGTAGCAATCAGCAGGACACGTTGCAAGTAGGACTAATCATCGCTGGACCAAACGGTATTAGAATGGACGTTAGTTGGTGGGCGTTTTCCAGATCGCTGGCAAAATGAGCTGAGGAAATATAGCAGAGCAATGGAAAGAGGCAATCACTTGACGAGGCCGGAAAAACATGTAGCAAGTAGATGAGTTGGAAACTGCCTAGAACAGAGTATAGCACTCAATGCAGTCTCGTCTGAATCTATGAACTTGTCGTAAACAGCTGCTTCATCTGCATGACAAGTACTGAATACTTAGCATAAGGTAAAATATGGAATTTAGATGAGATCTTAACAGAGGTAAAAGTTTGAGGGTAAAGTACAGCAAAGTTGCTCTGCAAGAAGAACCTCACGTCATCTGCCAGTATTGTTTTTTACTCATAACGACGCCAAGACAGTCCTTATTTACTTTTCCAGTGGACGGTCCTTTTGACTACCTACTAATACGAAATGACACTTGGAAGAATTTAGCTTCTTTTCAAAATGCGATATTATGACTGCCAATGTTCTATGGTATAGTACGTGGTGAACATCGTAATCTGTTGATCGTGACATCTGCAACCGAACGCTACTTGACCGATAATTTGTGCAAATAAGCAATTGTCCGCTAAACGAAGGACCATATGTAATGTAGCCCAACGGTCAACTGACAAAAGCTACGAATCCACCTGTTGCACATATAGATGGAAGAAACATTAGGAAAGCAGCCTTCTCGAGAGAAGCGTGAACGATTCGAGGGCACAGGGTCTCCGAGGGAGACCAAGGCCCCATCACCGGACAGAGAACAGAAAACCCGCTGTCGCAATGGAGAAATATAGGTCCGAGGTGTGGACCGTCGAATACTAGTGCGGTTGTCGAGATGAGTCGTTGAACAAGTACCAGAGCAGCTGACGCCCCAGCGCAGCACGTAGAAATCTGCGCGGCATAACTCCTCAAGTACAATCAGAATTACGGACGACGATTCACGGGGGAGGGTGCGTGAGGAGAGCGCGTTAAAAGTGATTATGCGTTGGTAAATGGGTGCAGATGCTTTCGGAGTGCATCGGTTTGCGAAGACCGCGTTGGCGCGAGACCCAAAAGGTTCTCATGACCCACAAACGCTGCATGTCGTGGCTACACGGCGACCACACCATAATTGGTGGACTGCCAGCTGGCGGAGCAGATGCGAGGCTGAGTTTCTAGTTCACGAACAATGGCCAGAGATTTCTGGGCTGACACAAACTTCGGATCAGGCCGGCTGTTGCGCTCAGCCCATGAGCTGTTTGTGCAAGCAACAATTGCCTCCTGTAGCCGACGGTGCCATGACTAGTGACCGTAACGATGACTAACTCACCGGAAAACAAAAACGCTTACACCCCTTACTACCGGCAGCCGTAACCGCAACCGCAGCGTGGTTCGCTATATGTTCGTTCATACTTCGCATGAGGCGATGAGGCTGG